GGGCAGAGTCATGTGATGGCCAGAGTTTGGAGCATTACATTCCACTCCAAGTTACTGCTACATGTACAAACTAATACACTATCAGAGTTTTATATATTTATACTTCTCATTCAACCACAGTTAAATTCACTCTATCTAGGAGGCTCAGTTTATATGGATAGTTTTTATTTTTTACAACAACAAGCTGCAATGAAATAAAAGTAACAACTTTATACTTCTTGTCTTTTTAAAAAATGTAAGGAGTAGGAAGTACAGATAATTGTGTGAAAATGTAAGAAGTAGAAGTAAAAAGTACGCTGAAAATAATTACTCAAGTAAAGCACAGATACACAAAAATTCTACTTAAGTACAATAAAGACGTATTTGTACTTAGTTACTTTACAATTCTGATTAATGTGTGTAACAATGTTCTTGCAAACAATATTCACATATAAAATAAACCTGTCAGACAAATCTTTGACATTTTTAAGTGAAACAAAGGAGAATTAACATAAATCTTTAATTTTCAAATATTTTTGTCCAAAATCTTTTTTAATATTGTCAGGCTGTATTTAGTTTTATGACCACACCATAACAAAGTATTTTAACATTATAAATTTGTTGTCATGTTGCTTGTTGCAGCAGTTCAAGCTCAAAGGCCTGAGCTTAATTTTAAGTAGAGGATTTGACCGCAGAGTGAGTCATCGTGTTTATAGATGATCTTTGTCCGGTGTGCACAGCTGCTGTAAATCAGAGGTGAGGCAGCCAGCAGAAGAGTCGGAACCCTGCAGCTGTCCGGCGGACAGGACCGTCATGGATCATCCGGTAAACCCACCGCTTTAGGTCGGACCGAGGCCGCTCGGAGCCGGAGGACGGCCGGGAGGAGAGAGGCGACACACGGCGGAGGGGAGGCTTCCTCCGGTTCCTCCCTGCTGGAAGAAATGTGGCTGAACCCGGAGGAAGTTCTGCTGAAAAACGCTCTGAAGCTCTGGGTGACCGAGAGGAGCAACGACTTCTTCCTGCTGCAGAGGAGGCGAGGTCATGGAGAGAGGACCAGCAGGATCACAGGTAAACAACAACAACAAGAACCAGGAAGCAGGAGGTAAACAACAACAACAACAAGAACCAGGAAGCAGGAGGTTCCCAATCAGAGCACAGTTCACCTGAATCAAAAGTCTGATATGTCTTGAATAATTCAAGGCTCATTAGTTTATGTTAGTTAATAAAGCTGCCCTGAAACCCTAGAACTGCTTCACTCCACACAGAACTGGGCCTAAAGCAGCTTTACAGCTTCAGTTCTTCACTAAAAACAAACTTTATTTGTTTCCTCGTTTCATTTAACAAGATACAAATTAGTTTGAACCTGCATCAACCATTGAATTGTTTGAACTCCTGCTTGAAATGTGCAACAGTGTGAGTCTGTTGTGTAAAAGTTATGACAAAGTTACAAAGTCCACATTAAAGAAAGCCTCACCCTCCCACAGAAAACTCCTGAAACTTCCTGAACCACTTCCCCTTTCAAACTGGTTTCTGTGGGCTGCTTTGTTCAAACATGACTGCATAATGTTCCACATGGTGGCTAATGTGTACGGGATGTCATTTTTAATGTTATACAGTTAAAAATTAACACCGATATTTGTGTTTTATTTAGACTTTTACAAGAAAAAAGAACATAGTTATTTTTCAAAGTCAATTTTTCACCATATGA